GTTCTTTTTGGTAGATTAATTGTTTTGTTTATATTTTGGTAGTCCTCTTTTTTAAACACTTTTGTAAACTAAAGGAAAATGGGAGAGAAACAGTGGACATGGGAGAGGGAAGAGAGGAGAGCAAGAGGGAGGGGGAAGAGAGGTAGACTCAATCATCCATCCTCTAGTTCACTCCCCAAATGGCTGTGTGGCTGTTGCTGTTCCACTCTGTACCCTGGAGCCTGGAAATCCATCCAGGTCTCCCATATGGGTTGCAGGGGCCCATATAGTTGAGTCACCCTCTGCTAGAATCTTGGATTCAACACTGGAATGGATATATGAAACTTAGAAAAATAACACTTGTCTCCCAGTACATTTCCTAAATGTTTCCTAATCACCGTGCTGCTATTTCCTAGTCACTGTGCTACCATTTTTTGCCCCTAACCTAAGACCTTTTGTCATATTTACACAATTATCCTTGTTGCTGTAAAACCATATGTAAGCTTTTTGACCTAACAGCTTCTCTAGGTCTTCATTTCTCTTTTAAAAACTCTCATGTACACCTAATAAGTAAAAGTTGTTTATGTGACTTATGTCAGTTTAATTTGTACATTATCTAGAGAACCAAAGCAGATAAAAAGAGGTTTTCTTACCTTTCCAAGGGCATTGTAAAAAACAATGAATTGGGAATTGTTTTTTTCACTTGTGAAAGTCATTTAAATATATCAGTTCAAAATTTTACTAGTCTTTAATGTTTAACTTAGAAAAATAATCATTTTGATAGCAGTAAGGTTACAATTAAAAATACATCATTAAACATCTAAATTGTGTATTTATGGCCAACAGAAATATTATATAACCTAATATTTTTATATCATATTTCTAAGGACTACCAAAATGAACATGGAAATTCATTTTTCTGGAATCAATTTTTTTCTTAAATTGTACAAATGAAATTTGCAAACTATCCATAACAAAGTTAACATCTAGAGTATAAAAGCTTAAACAAGTCAACAGCAAAACAAACTAAAAAACCACCCATATGCGGCCGGCTGCCTTTGTGGCATGAGTGTAAAGCCTCTGCCTGCAGAACCGGTATCCTAGATAGGCATGGTTTTGTGTCCTGGTTGTTCCACTTCCAATCCAGCTCCCTGCTGACAGTGCGGGAAGGACAGTGAAGGATAGCATAAGTGCTTTGGGCCCTGCAACCCATGTAGGAGACCTGAAAGACGCTTCTTGCCTCTGGCTTTGGTCTGGTCCAACTCTAGCTATTGAGGCCATCTGGGGAGTGAACTAGTGGATGGAGATATTCTCTCTTTCTAACTCTGATTTTCAAATAAATAAATACATTTTTTAAAGAAAAACAAATAATTCGATTAAATTAGGTGAATGATCTGAATGTCAAAATAAGACATATTATTGTGCATGAATTTCAAGGATTTTTTTGCACCAAAATAAACTTTTTAATTCTATTTCCATAAACTTTTGAAATTCCTTTATACAAATGGCAAACGAGGATTTGAAAAAATGTATTACTAATTTTCAAGGAAATGCAAAACAAAGACACTGTAAAATTACCTCAACCTAGTTAGAGTGGCTATAATGCAAAAAAATGACAAAGACAACAAATGCTGGCACAGATGTGGAGAAAAGGAAACAGTTATATACTGTTGTTGCAAATGTAAACTACTACAGCCATTATGGAGCAGAATAGGGAGGTTTCTCAAAAAACTGAAAATAAAACTGCCATACGATATAACTCTTTATGATTAAAGGAAATGAAATCAGCAAAATCATGTAAATCCTTGCACTTCCATGTTTACTGTGGTACTAGTAACAATTGTCAAGATGTAGGATCAGCCAAGGTTCCATCTATGGATAAGTGGATAAGTAAAATGTAGTACTGAATGCAGAGCCAGGGTGGCAGCTGAGTAAAGAGGTCCAGGGCCTACCTGGTATCCAGAGATACCAGTGTGAACAGATTGTAAAAACACCAAGTCACCTTCATCAGAGCTACAGAAGCCAGATGAAAGACCCAAGTACCTCATCTTGTTATAAGAAAAGTACCACTGAAGAAAGCAAGAAGGAAAAAATGGTCTACCTCACCCTCTCCCCAGGTCCAAGGAGCACAATTTGGGGACACCCTCCCACTGGGGATAGGGAGTGCAAACTCAATCTTAGTGCTGGGCCCATTGTGGAAATTTACAGCTCACTAGCCCCTACCCTTGTCCTCTTAACTGTGGTATGAATATTTAGAGCTTCCACAGCTTGGTGGCCTAATTCTCCCTTCTCCTTATACTGGCAAGAAGTGGGAGAGGCAGCTTAAAGCTATGCTTTGGAGCTCAAAGCTGTGTGTACTTGGTTAAGGTCCAGAACCTGATAAAGCCTCATAGGATTGTGTTTGAATTCATTAACAGAATGATAAAAACAGGAAATGAGAAGGTTCTAATGAACACTAACCTCAGGCCAGTGCCTGTAGAGCGTTGGACCTGCTTCAGTGCCCAGTGAGGTTCCGTTATCCTTGTTGTGTGATCTTATATTCTAATCAGCATTACCAGTGTCTAAGAGGTTTAGTATTGAGCAATGAATTCATCTTAGCACACACACCATAACCCATTTCAGCAGCAGAACAGAGCAGTTAGGATTTGGGGGGGGGGGGCAGCCACACATGGAACCAGATTACTATCATTAATATTTCAGTGCACAGATGATATCACAACCATCAAGCACCAAGAACTTCCGGGGAACCATGACATTACCTAAAAAGCAAAGTAATGTGCCAGAAACCAACTGTCTAGGGATTGAAATTTCCACATGTTTGGATGAAGATTTTCAAAGCGCTATTTCAAGAAATCAAAATAAATTCAATAGATACATAGAAATGACTCAATATTTTAAATTTGAAAAGATTAGATTTGAAAGAGAGATAGAAATAATTAAACAAAACCAAGCAGAAAACCTGTTGAAAACCACACTGAGTGAAATTAAAACTACAATAGAATACCTAGATTTAGTTCTAGTTTGGCCGCATGCTGGCATTTGAGGAGTAAACTAGCAGATAGAACCCCCTGTGTATCTCTGCCTCTCTTCTACTTTATCTATCAAATAAATAAGAATTTTAAAAAGGAAAATAAAATCCTAGAAATGAAAGGTACCTTAATACTACTATTTCATCAAAAGCATAAATTCATCCAAAGTCAATTCCATCAATTCTGTTTACTGATTTGATTACTAACTCCTAAGATAAATTACTTTAATAATCTTATTTCTTTAATAGACAACTGATTTCTCATATAGTTATCATCATTTCTATTTTTGTTTATTAAAGTGATTTATAACTTTTGTAAACTTGCTTTCTATGGCAAAATTCTTAATTATTTTGAATTTGGATGAGTATATGTTTCCTATTTAAAATTTTCTCAGTTCTTAATGTTTTTCTATACATGAGAGAGTTTCAAAGTTAATCAATTCCTGGTACCCATATCTAAAGGCCCTTAGAGGTACATATTATATTTTAGTTTGATTCATACCTATCAAAGGCAAGCTAACTTTTCATAGAGAATAGTCAACTGGGTGGCCGATTGTGTATTTTTACCAGTAATACCATTTTTGATGTCTTACAACTGTGAAAGTCAACTCAGCAGATGTTTGCTAATTGTGTTCTGTCCTGGGGCCCATGCTGTGATTTAGTTGGCTAAACCTCCGCCAGCATGCCATATGGGCGTCTGTTTGTGTCCGGCTGCTCCTTCTGATCTAGCTCTCAATTTATGGCCTAGGAAAGCAGTGGAAGATGACCCAAGTTCTTGGGTCCCTGCACCCACGTGGGAGACCCAGAAAAAGCTCCTGGCTTCAGATCTGCCCGGCTCTGGCCCTGGCGACCATTTAGGGAGTGACCCAGCAGATGGAAGACCTCTCTCTCTGTCTCTCCTTCTCTCTGTCTATAACTCTGCCTCTCAAATTAATAAATATATCTTAAGAAAATGTGTTCTGTCCTAGGGTTTTACCAAATTTTAATATGATTTTAAAATTTGTATTTTAGGTAATGTTATATTTTTCAAATTATCTTGGCATTCATTGTATCTTTTTTTGACACTCTTCAGGGTTGGTTATTTTGAAACATTTGCCAGTTATTTGGAAAATAAATTTAGTAAAGGTAATGTATTAGGAAGTATAATACGGAAAAACATTGGAAAAGTCAGGAACCAAGTCACATTTAACCTAATTTAGTATTATGTAGACTAGGGTAAAGGTAAAAGATGAATTGGAACTTTGTCTTGTTATATGTTAGCACACAGTCAAACATCTGAGGACACATTGAAACATGGATTTTATAGCTATTAGGCACTTTAGTAAAGAGATAAGTTGAGAGAAATGGCAAGAACATTAGCCTGTATGTCAAATTCTGCATTCTCTTAATGAACCGCCAAACAAAGAATGCAGTTGTCATGTTCTAGTTTGAAGCACCTCTCCAACTTGGCGTTTTAAATTATATGTCACAACTGTGAAACTTCTTTTTATGCATTTAAAAATGATTTGACAAAAAATAAAATCGCTACGAGGAAAAAATTATCAACCTTATTTGTTGTTGCAAAGATCTGATGGCAGTAGATATGTGAAAGATCAAAGCATTTAATTGAATGTGAAAAGAAACTTTTTGTATATTTTCAGAAATTCTCTTTTATTTTGTACACTTTCCCAGTATTCAACATTATCTCTCTAATTAGTATGCTATAAAAAATGACCAAAGAGTATTAAGATTTAGTGTCTTGTATTGCTTAGCTGTTACGTCTTGATTATCATCAAATAATATATATTAGGCTTAAACTTAAAAGCCAATGTAAAGCATTGGGCTAATAAATTTCTTTTCTATATAGTATATGGTTCATAAACAATGTCTTAATGATTATATTATTAAACCAACATATAAATAATACACTGCAGAATCTAATCTGATTTGTGAGTTTATTTATGCAGTTTATTATCTGTGTGTGTATGTCTGTGTACTTGTGTATGTCTTACAGCTGTTATTTCAAGAAACCAAGAAGGCCCAGGAGAAATGGGAAAAGCTGTACTGATTCCTAAAGATGACCAGGAGAAAATGAAAGAACTGTTTAAAATCAATCAGTTTAACCTTATGGCCAGTGATTTGATCGCCCTTAACAGAAGTCTGCCGGATGTAAGATTAGAAGGGTGAGTTTACGTGTGTTACATAATTTAATATAAGTGATTCCCATGTTTCAGAACCTTAGAACTTCTGCTGACTCAGATTATGTTAATTCTCGGATTGCATGTTTCTCGGTACCTGTGGTAAAGCAGGAAGTTGCTATGCGTGTCTATGCTGAGAAATGCAAACTGTTTTCTTTGGCAGTGCACAGTGTGTTACTTGCAAAGACACTGTGAAATACAGAGTTCTAACAGGATTTTATTCATGGGATATTTTTGTTTTGTTTTGCTTTATCTTGCCAAAGATAGAGCAAGCATGGTTTAATGGATGATTTGCTTGCCTGCATGAACCCTCCATATAGTTCATCTGGGAAAAGTTTACGCTTTGCTATTCTTGCATAAAACTAGCCATTGGCTGTATGGTTCTTTGACCCTTTAAAAATTATTCATTGTGAGTTCCTGAAATTTTGCTGCAATGTATAATTAGAATGCTTAGATATCAGTGATGGAAGAGATATTTACTTGGAAATAATACTGCATGAAAAATGATATTGAATCAGTCAAATTTTATGTGATTAAATGTAAGCTGTACTCTAGATGTTTGAACCTATGGTAGATGGATTTAATAACAGTCAGAATATATAGTGGCAGTATTGTCTTTGTAGTACAGTATATAATTCTTGTAAACTTTTGGCATTCTCAAAAGGTATGTCCTGAGATTTCAGAAATTCCCTTTTTACAAATATTCTCTAGGATATCTTCTACATGAATAGAAGTTGTTTTAACATTAACAATTTTCTGTATTTATAAAAAGTATAATTAATAAAAATAAGGTTTTCTATTTCTAAAGATTTATTTTATCTTCATATTTAATAAGTTTGGATTTTGCTATATTACGGTATTATTTCAAGTGAGATCAAAACTATATTAAGATCTTTTGACTGATAATTGTCAAAAGATTCAATGAGTAGCTAAGTAACTGACTCCTCATACCACTGTAGGTTTTTGAAATGTCTGTCTCAACAAGATCATAAATAACTACATATTATGGACCTTTTTGGTCCCCAGAAAATGATTAAGCAGAGAATATTTAAACGTGTGCTTTGAAGAAACTTGAATAATTTTATGTAGAGTTCTGTGTATGTGTGTATGTTTGAGTGAATGTAGACACATTCATATTTTTAAAGATTTACATTAAGCATATTTTTGAGTGTTTTATATGCTGTTAGTATGTTGCATTTATTTGTTTTATATGCCATGATGTAATAAAATCAGTAAATATGATACTTACATGTTCCAGAAAATGGTGCAAATATTATTTCAAATTTTTATAAGTTCTTGACTTTCAATTATAAGAATATAGGTTCATTAAATATTAAATCTGAGGTTATAAGGGTAATAATTGACATACAACTGAGCCATGAATTGAAAAAAAAAGGTCTTCATTGAGCAGATATGTAAATATATTCGTAGCCAATATTATTTCTTAAGAACCATCCAGCACATTAAATACCTGAGTAATGAAGCCTTAAACTATAGAACAATTCAACATTTTTTAAACAGGGGATTCATATTGCTTAGCATAAAATTGTATAAAACCCATATTTATGGTACTTATTGCTTGAATTCAGAGATTTTGTAAATAGCCTTTGAAATAATATTAATGAAATCATTTTAATTTTATTTTATATGATACCACAGTATATGTTATCAATAAAAGAACAATAATACCATCCAGAAATTGTAGACAAATCAGTGTGTGTTTGCTAATCATCCTAAATGACTCAATTGTGTTACTGCCTGTGAACAACTAATGTTGCAAAATTCCCAATGAATCACAATCCAAACTGTAATTTTGAAGATGTAAAAATATGTTGATATTGATTTGATTCCAAATATGTTAATGCTCATAAGTTGCATTGTAAGATATTTTTATCTAAAATATGGACATATTCATTAGCCACAATGATGACTAATATGGATTATATAAAGATGTGAAAGCTGGGATCCTCAAATAACTAGTTAAAAAGAAAAGCTTACTTTATTTTCCAGAAAACTTGAAATGATACTTAGAAAATGTCTGAATCACCCAAACAACGAATTTATTCATTTATTTAAGCACATTATACAAACTTGAACTGTTTTGGCTAGAATCAGAAAAATTTCCCAGCGGTTAAATGTTGTGTTCATCTACAGATATTTGAAGGTATATTTAGAATACTGACTCTATAAACATCCATGTATTGAGATGTCACCAAGTAAAAATACTTTCTCATGAAGGCAATTGTGATGAAACAGGAGGGCAAATGGGAATTATGTAAAAAGCAATGTTTGAGGATACTTAAATATTTTTATTGATTTACTTGATATATTTATTTTATTAACATATAACAAATTTATGTGTAATCATAAATTATTTGGGGGATATAAAATGATAGTTTCCACAAACAAGTCACAGCACTGACAGTTTTGAAGTGCAATTAAGACTGGAATTGTCTCTTAAATTGCTTACTTTCATGGAGGCCTTCCATTTTTAGGGTCCTTTTTGTAGTCTGTATATATGTATGAATAAAATTCCAGATATCTGTAACAGACACTTTTCCTCCCTTGACCATCCTCCACAAATTAAAAAAGAAATATAAAATTCTTTGTGATTCAAAATGGCGAGAAAAATAAATATTAACATGTACCATTGGTTCAGCCATAGGTGATTGTCACCATGTTTCTCATCAAAATTATGGGTCTGTGGTTTTAGCAATTTGTATATTTTGGGTTACAAAATAAAAGAGCTTTGAAATTACCAATATCTGACTATAAATGTATACATGTCTTTTTGTCTGGTTTTTAGTTAATAATTTTATGTTAATATTTGGAGGGAGGAGAGATGTCAAACTAAAGACATCTAGTAAGAGATATTAAATACATGATTTTGAGTTCCTAATATGCTAATATATGCTAAATATTGTTGCATGTGCTGGGCATATAGTAATGAAGAAAACTAAAACTCTAGGGGCCAATGCTGTGGTGTAGTGGGTTAAGCATCTGCCTGCAGTGCCAGCATCCCATATGGGTGACGGTTCAAGTCCCTACTGCTCCGCTTATGATCCAGCTATCTTCTGATGGCCTGGAAAAGCAGTAGAAAATGGCCCATGTGCTTAGGCCCCTGCGCCAAGCATGAGAGACCCTGAGGAAGTTCCTGGATCCTGGGTTCAGATGAGCCCAGCTCCAGTCATTGTGCCCATTTGGAGAGTGAACCAGTGGATGAAGACCTCTCCTCTGTCTCTCCCTCTCTTTGTTTGTAACTCTGCCTTTCAGGTAAATAAATAAATATTAAAAAATAAAATAAAAACAAAAAAACTAATGCTCTGTTTCATGGGACTTAGAACAAATAAAGCAGCTAAGAATGGAAAATTGAAAAGAACAATGAGTCTCTGTGAGAAGCTTACATTGAGTAAGTTCAGTGTACCTTAAGTACTTAAATGTTACAATTTATTTTTCTTAATACATACAATCATTAAATATTCACTGCATTCCTGTCATAGACCATGCTAGAAATTAAATTGACCTATGGATATTTAAAATTTCATAGAAATACTAAGGCTATTGGACAATCATCATGCATATATATATACATACAAATGTACTAGGACACTTTTAAAAGTTCATGAAGTACCTTCATCTGCATAACTTTCATTTTTTGTCTCTAAAATAAACATTTAATTCCATTCTCCAGTAAGTTTTTGAAGACCTCTTGTGTATGTGTGTGTATATGTGTAATCTTTAAAGCAGTAATTAAATGAGAGTCAGCAAAAATCATGTTTGGCTTTGCTGATATTTCTTGAAAGCCAGTGCTAGCCCATGCCTCTAGTCTTTTCTGAAAGTAGGAAAAAAAATATGACCATGGCCGTAATCAGTTAGGTGGGCATGTGACTGTATTCCATTGATGTAAAATCAAAAGGAGTGGCCTAGCGGCGCCGGCACACCGGGTTCTAGTCCCGGTTGGGGCGCCGGATTCTGTCCCGGTTGCCCCTCTTCCAGGCCAGCTCTCTGCTGTGGCCAGGGAGTGCAGTGGAGGATGGCCCAAGTGCTTGGGCCCTGCACCCGCATGGGAGACCAGGAAAAGCACCTGGCTCCTGGCTCCTGCCATAGGATCAGCGCGGTGCGCCGGCCGCGGCGGCCATTGGAGGGTGAACCAACGGCAAAGGAAGACCTTTCTCTCTGTCTCTCTCTCTCTCACTGTCCACTCTGCCTGTCAAAAAAATTAAAAAAAAAAAAATCAAAAGGAGCATCAAAAAGACCATGGTGAACAGAGATTTTGCAAGTAAAGTGTACACAGCCAGGAGTAGGGCAGGGGACAAACCTCTAGTCATGGAGCCAAAGCATATAGGTTGAAGACTTGTCACTATGGCTTGTGGTTGCATCTTGGGCAGCTCGTTAATTTTCTAAGCCCCTCTTAGCTTTCATCTGATTAAACCAACTAATAAATCACTCAACCAACCAGCAAACCCCCATTTTTTAGCTAACATAGACTTAACCTTGAAAACAAAGAATAGATGCAAGCAACCCTGACTGTAAGAGCAGAAAGAAAATTTTACATAAAAACTCATTATGATATTGAGTGAAAACATTTACAGTTGCAACAATGATAAGAATAGAATTGCCCTGTGTTCTTGGAAACATAGGTATATATATAATATATTTTCAACTCCCTATAAACATTATATTATTATTCTATGGAATGTTCTTATGGCCTCTAGCTCCATTTCTTAGGATTAGGGAAAAATTTTTCAGCAATTTGCTTCTCCTTTCACTCTTTGCAATTCTTTCTCAGTAATTATTGGGTCAATATTTATTTTTAAAAAAAGTGTGGGCAATAAAAGAAAATGCTAAAGTTCCTTAGCATTTACTTGTACTCAGACATTTAATAGCACTTCAAATGCTGGTATGGAGTTATTTGAAGGTTATAACACAGCTGGCATTTGAATATATTTCAGCAAAAAATGAGGAAATAGGAAATTTTAGCTATT